GCCAAACACAGTTGTACAAATTGATGAAATTAAAGCATTTATGGATGCTCGTTACATAACGTCTAGTGAAGCGTGTTGGCGAGTTTCTAGGTTCGATATTTATAACCAGTCTCCACTTGTTCTTAGTATGTCATATCATTTGCCTGGAGAGAATATAGTGTATTCAAATGCAAATTCCCGCGTGTAAGATGTAATTGCAGCTAATGGGAAAACAATGCTTTTGGCATGGATGGATCTAAATGCTACCTGAAGCTCACAAATACACTTTTGCTGAACTTCCACAATATTATGTTTGGAAGAAGGAAAAAAAAGTGGCAAAGGCGCAAGAGAGGAATGTGTATTGGAAGACTATATTATTGCTACCCATCTGCAAAAGACATGCACTACTTGCGTATGTTATTGCATGTTGTGAAGGATTGTTGTAGTTATGAGGATATTAGAACCATGAATGATATTATGCATCCAACATTCCAGAAAACGTGTTATGCACGAGGTTTGCTTGCTGCAGATTCTGAATGGAATGATTGTCTTAAAGAAGTTTTCTTTTGGGCTATTCCTTGTCAATCTTTTTGGAACAATAATTGGATGATACTTAGCGATGCCATTTTGTACTCCAAAAGAGAACAGGTGAGCCAACCACAGTTGAACTTGGACGAGCATACAATTAAAGATTTGTGTCTACTTTCCATAGATGAGATATTGCATAAGCATTCCAAGACATTGGCTTATTTTCCAGGATTGCTAATTCCTCAGGACTGTATGGCGTCAGTTGATATCAACAGGTTGGTTGTCGAAGAGTTGAGTCATACCTCCAATGACATGTATTGTAAAGTGGATGATGTCTACGCAAAGTTGAACATTAAACAAATCATTGCTTTTGACAATATTTTAGACTCAGTACATACAGGTGGGGGTAAGAGTTTCTTTGTTGATGGTTAGGCAGTACATGGAAAGCCTTTTTGTGGCGAGCCATTTGTATGAAACTGAGACAACAAAGAAAAATTGTATTATGTGTTGCATCATTTGGTATTACTGCTTTGCTAAGCATAATTGATTCAAAATACTTCTATGATTTTCCGGGATGAAGCACCGATGGCTCGTAAGCATAGTAGAAGCTTTAGATAAGACATCAATGATATCTTATCTACTAAGAATGTTGATATGATAACATGGTGTTTGGCGGTATGACTATGGTTTGAAGGTGATTTTAGGCAAACACTGCCTATCATTGCTATAGGTACAAAGACGGAAATTGTCAACTCTTCTATTAAACGGTCTTATTTGTGGCGTTCGGTGATTGTACTGAAGTTAAACTAAAACATGCGATTAGACTAGGCAATTGTGCAGTTGGTTTAAATCTTGAGATTGAGCATTTTAGTAATTGGCTTTTGGAAATTGGTGAAGGAAGGCATAGTAATATTTTTGGGGAATCGACATATGTGTACAACGAAAGTCAGATCCTATCTCTGATATTGATGCTGCAATCTATCCAGAGTTGGTGAAACGACATAATGATGACAATTATTTAGTCGAGCGAGCTATCTTAGCACCACACCATGATACTGTGTCAACTATTTACAATTATGTCCTAGGACTCTTTCTTGGAGAGGAGGTTACTTATTTCAGTTGTGACTCTATTGAGATTGATGCTAAGGAAACTCATGTTATTGAGTCTGACTATTCTATTGAATTCTTAAATTCTTTGAAGATTGGTAATTTTCCAGAGCATGAGTTGAAATTGAAAGTCGGCTGGGATGTTATTCTTCTTCGAAATACAGATCAAAGCACAAGTCTTTGCAATGGAACTAGGATGGTTGTCAAGAGATTGGGTCAATGGTTTATTGAGGTTCAAATATAGAGCTGTCAAAATTGAACCCGACCCGTCTAACCCGCCCAATCCACCGACCCACAACCCGTCTGTAACCCGATTTGACAAAAAGTCAACCACCTGTAACCCGAAACCAATTGACTCGTAATCCGATCAACCCATAACTCGATGAACTCATTATCTGATCCAACCCATAACCCGACTCATCTATAACCCGAATGATTAATAACCCAAATAACTCGTACCCAACTCGAATAACCCGAATGACCCGAATGCTTGTACAAATATTCAGTGTATACATTGTTATATTTTTAAATTTACCAAGAAAGAATTGTTGTTCTCATAATAATTGAAAATTATTTGTAGAATTGATGGTATAAATTGACGTTTTTTCTTAAATATTTAATTTTTAAAATAATAATATGTGAAATATCTTTTCATTCATTTTTTGATTTTATGATTCAAAGGATAATTTTTTGAAGATAATAGGAAGAGTTAGACACAAATTCGTATATCCACCACCCATAACTATATTAAAAAAATTAACTCTTGAAAATCAATGAAATCTCCAAAATCAATGAACCCTATCAAGATATATAAGTGGATAGTTTACCATTTTTATTTCATTCTCAACTTTTTACTGATTTTATTTATTTTTTATAAATTAATAAATCGACGATTCAAACTAGATGATAATATCATATTTGAACGAACCGTTCTTCGACCCATGAGTTTTAGGATGAGATGTTACCGTGAATATATAAAAAATTGTGAAGATATATAAGTGGGTGATTCGGAATGATGTTCATAAGTCTTCGTGGAAATGAAGAGACACACATCTAGTTCATAATATATTTAATTAAGATGATTCATTTCTAGATGTATAAGCATATAGTCTACCTTTTTTACTTCATTCTCAAATTTTTACTAATTCAATTTTTTTATAAATTAATAAAATAAGTGAAGTTACAATCTCTCATCATAAACAAAAAAAATTATAACCAACAACAAAGTTTTTATATACACTATTATTTATATTTAGTTTTTATACTAACATAATGGATATTTAATTTGTATGTGTAAAATATTATCATTTTCTTAAATTTTGTATCATTACCTACAATTTATATTCATATATTGATAGTTTGTAAAACATTATTTTTTGTCAAGAAGTAAATGATCCAATGGGTTGACCCGAATAACCCATAATCCGACCTGACCGAACCTGAATTAACCCGCAATCCAATAAACCCGTAATTTGATGCACCCGTAACCCGACCCAATCCGTAACCCAATTGACTAGTGACCTTATTGACTCGTAACCCAATTGACCTGCAACCCAATTAAACCCGATTGAAATTGAAACCGGCCCGATTGAACTCGCAACCCGATTGAACCCAACCCGGTTAGACCCAATCTGAACCCGACCCAACTTGCCCAATTGACACCTCTATTCAAATAGTAACTGGCACTCATGTTAGGGATACAGTTCTCTTACCATGGCTCACGGTGTTTACTCAATACTCATTACAAGAGCTTGAATTTTAGTATGGTACAAAGACAATATCCCGTTGCATTATCATATACAATGACCATAAACAAGAGACAAGGGCAAATATTGAAACATGTGGGACTCTGTTTGCAAAAACAAGTTTTTTCTCATGGTCAGCTTCATGTTGCGATGTCGCTAGTTACGTAAAAAAGTGGTCTTAAGATTTTGAGTTGTGATTCAGAGGGTCGACAACTAAAAACCATGCAAAATATAGTCTTCACAGGGATTTTTGAATGAAGATTGGACCGATAATTTCCTAGGTATGACATCTTTTTCACAACACTTGTTTTGTTTTAATCTTTACAAACTGGTTTTTAATTTCCCATATATAATACGTTATATATTTTCTTTCAGCATATAGGGTGGAAAACACAATTCCCATGGAGGACATTTTCACCGCAATCTCTGTTACCATTCATTGAGTTACGAAGCAAAAATATTGCGACAACAACATGGAGATAAAGTCTTTGTTATGGGGTGGAACATCTACAATATTTTTTCCATTGTGCAATATATTGATTGAACACACTTTTGTGTGCATTACTTGGATTTTTTTGGGTTTCTGAATATATTTTAATTTTTGTATCTTTTATTCTCAAGACATATATATTGTGCAAATTTTTATGTGCTTTTCTGGAATCATATACCGTGCGTGTATCTTAACAAACCGTTTGCAAATGGTTAATAATTGGCCAGGTCGAGCCCACATCCAATATGTACCGATTAGAAAGGCCCAACTTATGACCCAAAAAATTTGTCACGTCAGCCACTTCTTCCAAACCCTATCGCCGTCAGCCTCCTTCACTTTTGTCATGAATTTGGTATGGGGAATACTATCTAGCCATGTATATGATGCATTTCTGGTCCCTCCCATCCTTTTCCCTCACCACAAAAGCTACGAATCTTCTCGTATCAATCTTTGCAAAGAACCAATTTACCCCATGTATTTCTATTCACTTGCCCAAGTCACAGCTTGCTTTCAAATTGTGGGAAACCCGACCGGGGGAGGGGAGTGAGGGCCGACTCGGCCAGGAAGGGAAAGGGGGAGGGGAATGGCACACTTGTAATTTAGAATAATTCGGTTTACTACTTAAGCCTACAGCTCATTAGTTTTGGAAGTTAAGCAATAATAATTCAGAAAACCCAAATCCCTAGTCTCTCTCTTCTCTCTTGTTATTCCCCAATTCTCCAAATCCCTAATTTCTTCTCTTCTCAATCCCTAAATCCTCAATTGGAATTTCTTGTATCTTACATCTGGTATCAGAGCCTGCGATCGTCGATGAGTTCCTCCCAACTCTCGGACCTGTCATGGGCAGAACTACGGGACAGAGCCTGCCGCATAGGCCGCCGATGGCTGCCTGCAGAGTCGGAGACCACGTCTCCCGAAGCCGTCCCTCGCCGTGACCAGCGCGCCCCCATCGCCGTCCCTCGCTGCGACCTGCGCGCCCCGGCCGCTTCGGCCGCCCCACCTGCACTGCGCGCCCCGGCCCTCCGCCCGCGCGCCCTTCCGCGGGGGCCGCCGCGACTGGCCCCTGCCTCTCGCTCCACTCGGTGGCGGGATGGGCCTCCCCGGGGACCCTTCGCTTCCGAGCCCGAGTCGAGGATCGCGTGGCCATTACCCTAGTCGACAGTGGCGCGTCCTTGAACTTTGTGGGAGAAGAATTCGCCAAGCAACTGCAGCAGGCAACCGTGCCCACCGATTCCATGGTGGTGAAGGTGGCGAATGGTGCTCCTTTGAGCTGTGTAGGGGTTCTTCGAGGTATCTCTTTGGAAATTCAAGGTTTGCATATATCCATTGATCTGTATGTACCTGCCAATCAGGGGATTCGACATCATTTTGGGGATTCCGTGGCTGCAGAGCCTAGGTCCCGTGACTAGCGATTGGCAGCGGTTGACTATGCGTTTAAAATGGAGGGATAAGGAGTGGAATTTGCAGGGTCTCATCACTGCTGTTGGACCCATCTCGTTCGAGGAATGCGGTTCGGGAGGCGAGGCCGAATTGGCCATTATGTGTTGGCCGATCAAGGAGGGGGCGCCGCCGGTGCTCCACCCGGAGCTGCAGGAGTTGCTCGGACATTACTCGGATTTGTTCGAAACTCTCACCTCATTACCCCCTCACCGATTGGTGGATCATCAGATTCAGCTAAAGGATGGAGTGGAGGCAGTGAATGTGAGACCGTACAGATATGGGCATTCGCAGAAGGAGGAGATTGAGAGACAGGTCTCGGAGATGCTGACCACGGGCTTGATCCGGCCAAGCACCAGCCCGTTCTCGTCACCGGTGTTGTTGGTAAGGAAGAAGGATGGCACCTGGCGCTTTTGCACTGATTATCGGGCTCTGAACGAGGCCACAGTGAAGGACCGTTTTCCCATTTCGACAGTGGACGATATGCTGGATGAGCTTCATGGGTCCCGCTATTTCTCTAAGCTGGATCTACGGGCGGGGTACCACCAGATCAGGATGCGGGAGGAGGATGTCCATAAGACAGCATTTCGCACTCATAACGGGCACTACGAGTACCTGGTGATGCCATTTGGGTTGTGTAATGCGCCTTCCACCTTCCAGGCGGCCATGAACGAGATCTTTTGGCCCCTCCTACGTCGGTACGTCCTGGTTTTCTTTGATGATATCCTGATTTACAGCCCTTCATGGGCAGATCACTTGGTACATCTGCAGGCAGTGTTCGAGGTACTGAGGAAGAATCAGTACTATATCAAGGCATCCAAGTGTGAGTTCGGGGTGCAGGAGGTGGAATATTTGGGTCATATGGTGACTCCACAGGGTGTGAAGGTGAACCAGTCCAAGATTCAGGCGATGGTGGACTGGCCGGTTCCCGCGACGGTGACTGAGTTGCGGGGATTTCTGGGTCTGACAAGTTATTACCGGAAGTTTGTGCAGGGGTACAGCATGATCGCCCGTCCGTTGACTGATCTATTGAAGAAAGGGGGGTTTGCGTGGTCACCGGCGGCGGAGACTGCCTTCTAGCGGCTCAAACAGGCCATGACGACCACTCCGACTCTCGCCATGCCGGACTTTTCCAAGTCCTTTGTGATTGAGGCAGATGCATCGGGCAGGGGGATCGGGGCGGTGTTATCTCAGGACCGCCATCCCATTGCCTTTATGAGTAAGATGCTGGCACCCTCCAAGGAGGCTTGGTCAACGTACAAGAAGGAAATGCAGGCGATCATTACCACTGTCCAGACATGGCGGCCGTATCTCTTGGGTCAGAAATTTCACATCTACACCGACCATCAGATTTTGAAGCACCTTCTCGAGCACCGAGTGTCCACACCGGATCAGCATAAGTGGGTGTCGAAGCTGCTGGGCTACGACTATGAGATCCATTATCGCCCCGGGCCCACTAATGTGGTGGCGGATGGATTATCGAGGAGACCGGGCAGCGAGGTTCTCGTGGCAGTGTCAGGGCCAGTTCCGCATTTCTGGGATGAGTTGAGGGCGTCCATGGAGACCAGTCAGTATTTACAGGACTGTCGGGAAATCGCAGTGAGCGACAATCCGGGGCATTATCTGTTTCGACAGGGATCGGTGACCTTCAAGGGTCGAGTGGTTCTCCCTCCCGGCTCGAACTTGGTCACCTCAGTACTGCAGGAGTTCCATGACTCCCCGTTGGGAGGGCATTCAGGCGCCGAGAGGACACTGCGCCGGATCAGAGGCCATTTTTACTGGCCCCGGATGGCACAGGCTGTGAAAGCCTATGTAGACTCATGTGATACGTGCCAGAGAACGAAGCTGTCTTACCTGCGACCCGCCGGCCTTCTTCAGCCGATGCCGGTGCCGGAACAGGTATGGGAGGACATTAGCATGGATTTCATCGTGGGATTACCTCCCTCTGGCGGGAAGACGGTGTTGTTCGTGGTAGTGGATCGGCTTACTAAGTATGCTCATTTTATGCCGTTGGCGCATCCATACACTGCGAAGTCTGTGGCGGAGCAGTTTGTATTGTGGGTGGTGAGACATCATGGGTTTCCCAGGTCTATTGTCAGTGACCGTGACCCTATTTTCTTGAGCAGGTTTTGGCAGGAGGTCTTTGCAATGGCACGGACAGTGTTGCGCATGAGCTCGGCCTATCATCCCCAGACCGACGGACAGACGGAGATAGTCAACAAGCACCTGGAGCAGTATGGGAGACCGCCCCCCGAAGCAGTGGCTGGCCATGCTTCCTTGGGCGGAATTGTGGTATAACACCACGTTTCATCGGTCAATCAAAATGACCCCGTTCGAGGCTTTATACGGGAGACCGCCCCCAGCATTAGTGCAGTACCGTGGCGGGTCGAGTTCGGTTGACGCGGTGGACAGGTGGTTGGGCGCACGAGACGAGGCATTGGCGCAGTTGAAAGCCAACTTGGCTGCAGCAACCAACCAGATGAAGCAGGCCGAGGATGCGGGGCGGTGAGATGAGGAGTTTGAGGTGGGAGACTGGGTACTGCTGAGGTTGCATCCCTACCGGAAGTCCTCGGTTTTCCGGCGAGCATACCAGAAGCTAGCAGCTAGGTACTTTGGGCCGTACGAGATAGTCCACAAGGTCAATCCGGTTGCTTATCGGTTGCAGCTGCCTGCGGGTTCGCGCATACACCCGGTGTTCCACATTTCCTTGCTGAAAAGGTACCGGGGCCTGGCGGACAGGGTGACTGCGACGGCTCCTCCTGTGACAGCAGATGGCGACTTGGAGTTGGTTCCTCTCAAGGTGCTGGAGACCCGATGGACCAAGAAGGGCGGCCGGTTGGTAGAAGAGAGTCTGGTGCAGTGGAAGCATGTAGAGCTGGAAGATGCCACCTGGGAAGAGTCAGAGGCGCTTCGTCAGAGGTTTCCGGACTTCGACCTCGAGGCCGATGTCGATTCTGAAGAAGGGGGGATGTGGGAAACCCGACCGGGGGAGGGGAGTGAGGGCCGACTCGGCCAGGAAGGGAAAGGGGGAGGGGAATGGCACACTTGTAATTTAGAATAATTCGGTTTACTACTTAAGCCTACAGCTCATTAGTTTTGGAAGTTAAGCAATAATAATTCAGAAAACCCAAATCCCTAGTCTCTCTCTTCTCTCTTGTTCTTCCCCAATTCTCCAAATCCCTAATTTCTTCTCTTCTCAATCCCTAAATCCTCAATTGGAATTTCTTGTGTCTTACACAAATTCAGTGTTCAAACACGACTGACCTTATGCCTCCAGGCCATAACCCGATTCAAAAGAATCCTAACATCACTCATGTATAGAGAGTTCCAGATCTCAGGCACATCCACAGCCTACGGGCTCTAAGCTCCATCATTTCGAAGAGAAGAACTGATTTGAGCTTTTTGTTGTTTCAATAATGTCAATCGTGCCTCTTCACGTCTTTCCCGTTTGGGACGAAATGTGGATGCTGAGGATTAGACTTCTCAGGTTAGGGGGAAAATTATCCCACAGAGGTATGAATCTTATTCATGTCTTTCAATGTGCATATCATCATTGAAACCTCAACAATTCATCTTTATATTTTGTGAAGGGGGAGTTGGTTGAGGCCATTATTCGCCGCCAAGATGTGAATCGCTTTCTGCCATACCTTTTTGAAGGAGCCATTTATAGAATACTTTACTTTGATGTGGAAGAGAATGTTAGCCTCCATCAAGTAGCAGTCAGTGATATTCAACTTGCTTTTAATGCTCAAACGATGATGACTCAGATGGAGGAAGTTACTGACATCCAAGTTTTCAGCTTCCGCTTTCTGCCCCGCAGTCAATTCTTCCATGCTCAAGGGAATTAGGAGTATCTACCAGGTATATGTTCTGTGCGCCTTCTTGCTAATACGATCCATTGTTTTTCTAAGCCCAACTCTTTGATCCAAATTATTTATGGCTCGTCAAAATTTTGTTGGTGTCATACATCATGCGCATTTACCGAGGAAACACATCACCATCCGATTGATTGAGTTTGTTCATTATTTTTTTTCATTAGTTGTTATTTTGCATGCCAGAAACAACACAGTTCAATAGCATGCATATATATATATATATATGGTGGCTTCTATGGTACCTCGGGTGAAATCCGGGGTACCGCATACCTCGAGTATGGAAACTCTATCTAGACCTTGAATTACCAGGATTTTTGTGTCTGATATTATACCCTAACCCTTAATGAGTGAACCGTAGGTCATAATTATCTAAATCATAATCTATAAACCCTAAGATGGTGCATTCCTTTTTGTGCCTATATTTGGATGAATCATAACCGTCGATTATTGTTTCTAATTAAATTGATCTTGGAGTATAAGATTGGGAGAATTAAGACCTAGATTTTGATCTTTAAGAGCTAGAGTATAGTATCATGTCCGAAAGATCGGTCAATTCAAGGTCTAGATAGTGTTTTCATACTCAAGGTATGCGGTACCCCGGATTTCACCTAGGGTATATGGTGCCTTCTACTGTACCCCGAGTGAAATCCGGGGTACCACATACCTTGAGTATGGAAACAGTATCTAGACCTCGAATTAGCAGGATTTTTGGGTCTGGTACTATACCCTAACCCTTAATGAGTGAACCCTAGGTCCTAATTATCTAAATCATAATCTATAAACCCTAAGATGATGCATTCCTTTTTGTGCCTATATTTGGACGAATCATAACCGCCGATTATTGTTTCTAATTAAATTGATCTTGGAGTATAAGATTGGGAGAGTTAAGACCTAGATTTTGATCTTTAAGAGCTAGAGTATAGTATCATGTCCGAAAGATCGGTCAATTCAAGGTCTAAATAGTGTTTTCATACTTAAGGTATGCGGTACCCCGGATTTTACCCAGGGTACCGTAGAACTCTCCATATATATATAGTGACTACTCCGGTGCACTCATAAAAATGAGTGTGTTCAATGCCCTTAACTCAAAAACTAGTTTTAAGGTGTCGAATTTTGAATTTTAATTTGTAGAAATAGTGTAATATGATGATATAACATATGATAACAACTAATTAGTGAATTACCCTAAGTCCTAAACCTCCAATTTTGAGTTCTATCCCTAAACC